TTGGAACTAGACAGAAAAAATCAAAAAAATGAATAAAACAATGTCGAGGATCCCGATGAGAACGGTCTACCGGGTACCAACAACTTGCGGTAGAGACGCAACAAATCAAGAAAGAGAACACATACTGAACCCGCTGTTTCACTCGAAAGAGGCGGGATAAATTTTAAAAAATATTGAAAAATTCATAATACGATATACTCTGCCCTGTATCAACGGAGTCTCGTAAATTGCTGGACGTTTGCGGAGCCAAAAAGATAATTTAGGTCAAATGAAAAACTATCGACTTGCTTACGGAGAATCGGAGGGTTGAATCCAATTCACAGCACAGGACTAATACCAAACACAATCAAAACGGCAAAGAGTGCTTGGAGCACTGTTCACTAAAAATTAAACAAATAGGCTGATCAAAAATATTTATGGCAAATAGTTAAGAAATTCAAGAGGACACAGATTCAACTTGGTGAAGAAAATCTACCAAGGTCAGTCATATCAGTGGAAAATATCTCAAGGATTAGGACTTGTNCTTGTCAAACAACTCAAAGGAACAGGTACGTTTACTTGAACCACGAGTGCGCTCTAAAGTGATTTAATGGACAATTTATTTAACTTTTACTTCTTTTTATTGAGTACAAAATGATACCATTTTTAGGAAGGGGGAAGCGAACAATCAAAGGAGCTGCTATACAAAACAAAAATGTGGAAATTCAGACGGTAGTGGTGGTGCGATTCGAACGCATGTCCTCAGTGGTGATAATTTGCTGACGTTATCAATCGACGTAACAATCAAAAGGCCTTACAACGGACAGACTGAATCCAATCAAAAAAATTACGTTTGCCGTCGTAATCCAGCTATAGGCGCTAAAAATGTCACTTTCATCAATGATTATGAAATGGGAAACAAATTTTCCGGTTACACATAGCAGTAGACTGAAGTGGGCGTGTGAAAATAGGCGAGAAGGATTCTTGATCATGTTTTTGATCGCTTTCAAACTAAGATCTGGCATGAGGGTATGAAAACCCTAACCAGGAGACTACGTCACATAGGCCCAGTTAGGCTCCCTAGATGGGGACCTTGGGATGATGGTCACCGATGGTTAGAGACACTGAGTGATATGGCTGGGTGTCGCAAACAGTGGCGCTCGTGCATTTACTCATTATTCCCCTATCGCTTTCTATGAGAATTCTCCATTTCCCGCTTGAATTTGCTTTCAACATTCGAATCTTCATTCTGCTCTTTTATCCAAATAGGGCACCAAAAGACAGCAACAAAAACCGGCGCACGAAAGTGCATGGTTAATGGTTGTAAAAACAGAACTGAACGGAAACTGAACTTTTGATCGCTTCATTGCACTGACTTTGGCAGTTTAGTTCAAGTTATATATATATATATATGTATATGTATATATATATACATATATATGAATTAATTTCCCATGTAAATACAACTGTTAAAAGTCTTCCAAACGTTTTTTCTTCCGCTGTGTCCCGTTTAACAATTAATTTCAATATACTGTCTTATTTAAGATACACTCTCGGTTTTATTGCAATAAAACCACATGAGATCTTTCTGGGCATCAGTCTACCGATCCTCTTGGCGGTGGCCTACTGTTTGAGCATGAAATCACCGGATCACTTGAAAATACCACCCGAAAATTTCTTTTTTATTTTCAATTTGAGATAAATCGGGTCCCATTCATAGAGCAACAGGGGATAAAGAAAAATATGTCCGGGTGTGTCGAAGTGTGACTGACAAACGGTTGGAGCGTTCGCACTATCAAACAGATATCAACCAGACTGAGACGAACAAAAAGGGCTGGGGGGGGAAACATATATAATCTTTTGCGTGATGACAACGAGAACGCAAAATCCACTGGGCTGATATCAGATGTGCATTCAATTTCTGTTTTCGCTCATACTCTACTTCGATTGAGGCAATCAGCGAATCGTGTTCACCAATCATTCAATGTTTGAAGAAGCGATCAACGTTCGTGGCGGTCATTGCAATTCACTGGTATTTAGTTTTACCCGATAATCAGTTGACGTCGATTGAAATTCAGTAGATTGGTCTAGTACGCTTCACTTCAGATTTTATATTTAATGGATTAACAGCACCCAAAAAGAATTAATTTTATTGAAACATCTGAGAGCGTCCACTAGAAATGAATATAGACGAGTTTTGCATATAAATTTAGCAGATTCGCGAAAGCTGGTGTTTCCACCGCGTGTAATTACACCACCGGATAACTTTAACCATAGATTCGTCGCAATTCGAGATAAAAAAACCGGAAGACTAACACAAATCATATTATCAAATGCAGTGTTGTGTCTGCCAGTCTATCACCGAATCTTCTCCATCAAGATGTTCCTCGACGATTCCAGAAAAAAGACGTTAACTGCAAACAGTATGAGTGTTTATGAGAAGCGCCAGAAATGTGCGTTCATTTTTGGAGAAACTCACCATATTCTTATAGCTGCGTACAGTCTAGATTCCTTCCTAATCAAAAATACGAGAGAACGTACGAAGGGAACAGAACCAGCAGGTTACAGTATTCCCTCCGCTACCCTAGATCCCACGGATCCAGTTACATCAAGGCAGTAGCTGCGTCCAATCAATCTTCCATTGAAATCGTAAAATTCTTAGGGTAAAGTGATCACGATTCTCATTGCTTCATATCGGATGGCTGCTGGAACGCGTTTAGTTCTCTACCAACTACTACTGTTGCGAGGTGCTACTCACATTTTTGAGTACTATGCTTTGAGGATGCAATTGGTGGTTTCTCGTAAAGTTCAAAAATGAACACGACCTCCTAGAATGAGTTACCATGTTGAAAATTGTAACTACCGAAAATGCACATCTACTGTCGAACTGTCCCAACGATTGTCCTGCATGCCTGTGGGAATTAGGATGACCTATTCCAAATGAGACGGGTTTGGAGTGTACGCCAATATATCGATCGATATGTTGACTGTTGTTCGTAATAAACAAGCACGTGAACCAGTTGCTCAAATCCATTGTAAAGGTTACAACTCGAAATAGATTAACCTTAATACCAATTCTCATTTCACCCCGCCGGACTCGTGCAATGTGTCATGGATTGTTGTGTTTCGCTTCTGAAGGGGTCATCCTACCATAGTAACAGTATCCCTGCGTGATAAATTAGAGCAGACCGGAATGCTACAGATTACGCCTGACTTTTCGCAAACAGTCGAGTGACAAAATTCATATAGAACACGGCAAAGAGCATTATCCAGGAAAATAATCGGTTTTTCCGAACAAATTCCATAGACGCGATTGGTAAAACAATTCCACGAAATGTTGGTGGTGGTGTGTTCTCCGAGCTGGGAGTGTTGTTCGCAGACGTTTCGTAGCCAGGTTGGGCAACATCATCAATGCACTACACCAGTCAATTCAGCATCCACTCAGTTTTTAATATTGCCCTCCCTCCATTTAATCCCCTTTGTGTGCTTTAGGGTATGTATCTTTTTTGTTGGGATCACCTTTTAATTATTGTTCCTAGACCATTGCATATTCACTCCTTAGACCACCATTGCAGACATCTAAGCATTTGATGCACTTCACTGGATACGTTGAAATCCGTTCACGCACAGGTGCTGTCTATACTTGTGACTTTATTCATATATATAGCATGCTATGATGTAACCCATGTCCTCACAACTACTAGCATTCAAGCATTACTCCTGTCCTATTCCTTTCTCTCCTACATCATTGAGCAAATGTCTGATCCATAGAAAGCATCGTACATTTTGGTGACATGTTGGTCCCAGCACATCTGTCTCACGTCTGTATATAGGACCTGTGCTTCCCTTCCGATGTAATTGATTATTACTCATTGCGCATCGAACCTTGTGTCAAATTATCCGCTTTCCCTTAAACTCTGATTTGAGCCGTCTCATCGTGCTCTACTGCATATCGTGTATTCCGTGTCCCACTAAAATGCATTTGTACATGCATTACCGATAGACAACCGTGCACATGGACCGATTGATGATGAGTAGTCGGTTTATCTCTTTGAATACGCTATTCCCCTTGATGTTCCTCGTCCTGTGTTCTGACGGTGCCTACCTAGCCAGTCACTTGACTCGATATCCCGTTCCATTCTGTTCAATGTTGCGTTGTTTCTGGGCCAGCTCGCTCATAACTTCAGATATGTTGGATATATTGCTTGTTCACCGTGTGCTTCAGTACACGTAGATTACCTATTCTATTTGCC